ATTGACAAGTTAGACACGCCTAATGTAATTTACAAAATAGACTGTTTGAATTGTGATAACACATACATAGGTCAAACAGCACAATATTTAAAGAAAAGAATATACGAACATAAGTATAGCCTAAGAAAAAATAACGAAGATGGTACAGCATTAGCACAGCATACACAACAGAAGTTGCATAATTTTGATTTTGATAACACAAAAATACTGATTAACGAGATTAATTCTAATAAGAGAAGAGTCCATGAAATGATACAGATTAAAAAACATAACAATGCTATGAATTTCAGATCGGATACCGACAATCTTAGCTCAGTATATCATACATTAATTAAATGAAATAAACATAAAATATTAACTAACACCCAGTATATTGAAGAATTTTGCAAACCAAAAATAATATCCTCAGAATGCAAAGAAAAATAGCTGAAAGTAAAAGAAATCAATATAAACAGTATTTTATTCGCTTTGTGTTAAAATTAATACTTCAAATGCATGCCAAGGGTTAAAGCAGCAGCAACGCTACACATGTAAGAAATTTTTTTTAAGTATCTAAACGAAGAATTCTAGTCTCTTCCAAAATTTGATTGTCCTGACTAATCACCTGTTAGGCCTAATTAATTTTAGAATGTTTTAAAGTATAGCAATTATGATGTATTTTAATGTGTAATATGATGAGGCTGTTGACAAACTGTGGTTGTTTTTTAAATTAATGAAAAAATTTGCTTAAACTATCTGTCATTTTAGAAAAACTGATGATCATGGAAAAATACACCGAAACGTATTTTGATTGATAAATAGAGACAATAAATGACTGAAACCCAGGGATGAATTTGATTTGGGATTATCAAGATTAATGGTCGAAGCAAAAGGGGTTTTTGAGTTCCCGTCAGGAAGACCTTTTTTCCTTATTCAATGCCTCTCGAATAAATTCAAAACCGCCGCTTTAAGATTATCTCTTGACGTTGCGACGTTGAATCAAGTTCATCAGCGTGAAAAGACTTCTATATCACAGTCTTCCTAATTCACGTGGCACCAGAAAATCGAAAAGTGCTCATGACACATGAAATCAGCTCTGTAGCCAATGAGTATCAAAGTACAATGGAAAGTAGGAAAGATTTGAAAGATCGTGTAACTGCGGCATATCAACAAATTCACCGAAGAGAAATTCAAATAGCAACAATCCCATATTTTAGAGAGTCGGTCTTGATAGATCGCGAACACAATGCCTAGGTGTGGATCGATAGCATTAAACCATCTTAATTATTTGACACCAAAAATATCATCACAGCTTTTCCCTAAAATAAACCGTTACTGTGTTTTAGAAGGATGTTAGTTTTTTGTTTTTCTACAAATTGGAATTGGCCCAAACTAGGTATATTATCGTAAAACCCTTTCATATAAAGAATGAGTTGGGTTTCTGCCAGCCCCTATAAAATGTGGGATGCTTCATTGAAAATTCCTGGGTAACATGCAATTTAATGTCCACAAAAAAGCGCATTCTTTTGCAAATACCTGGTGTGCGATTATTGGATTCTACCGCTGGATCTAATAGTATCAGTAACGTAGCTGTTTAGCTAAGCAGATTTCAAAACTGTGGAAACATACAAATGCGATATATTAAAAGTGTTATTTTTATATTTTCAATTTCAATACATTTTTTAAATGTCTGCCAAACCTTTTGCGTTTTTGGTTAATAAAAACTTTAACTTTTTGTGTTAGTGTTTGGGTTTATTAAGTAGCACAGCAAAAAACAATAAGTAAAAATTGATTTAATGATCAATTGCTCCTTCTGCCTACGCTGTTTACAGTATATTCTTAATTACTAAATTGTGACTGTAGCAATTAGAAACGTCGATCGGAAAACAAAGCGGGAGTATCGCTTCTCTGGTCAAAAGCTCCGCTTGCAAAGCTTTTTCTCGAAAAATGACTTTATAATCGTCGAAGTGTGGCGGCCGTTTTCAATTTTATCTGTAACTTAATTAAAACATTAAAATCAAAAACCTTTGCATTTAACACTTTTTACATAATCTCAAAGTAACCGTTAAAGTGGCAAAAAACTGATTTTTGATTTGAATGAATCTAAAAGTGCCATTTTTCGATCAGAAGCGATGATCATAAAGAAGCACTTTTTTTACTGTTCATTTGTTTACATGTGGGCAAAAGTAAATGTGACAAATTGAACGTATCACTGTCATTATATTTTTTAAAGGATTTTCATATTCGAAGTAACCGACATGCTTTTTTAATTAATCACGTACGTTTATCGACAACTATTGATCATAATTTAAAGTTTACTTACGACTTGTAAGTATAACTTTCTTACGAGTTCAGTGTCAAAGTCACTCTAATGGTCTATTTTTCTGCGCTTTCCGATGTTGCCACAAGAAAACACGATTTTTGTAAATAGCACAAATTTTATAGAAAATAAGCAACTTATACAAACACCATACCGTGAAAGCAGCACTTGAATTTTCAACACTCATTGTTCCACTTGTGTATGTTTACAAAAGTACGCTTTTGAAAAATTACAAACGCCAAACATGACAATTTCAAAAATGACATTGACATGAGATTTAAAATATGAAGTTGATGCCTTTTATTTTTGGTTATTCTTATTTATTATAACTTATGATTCGTGTTATGTTTTTCATTCGAATAAAAAATGTTGTTCGTTACGAGGGCGAAAAGTCGTTTTTCGAACGAGGACAGCGTTTGACAATATTGAGTTTAAAACACGTATATTGGCTATTTACTGGATAGAATAGAATTGCAGATAAGATCTACATCTCCTTCTGAAACACCCTGTCGATCTACTAATATTTTTATCAATAACCAATACAAAAGAAATGTATTCGGCGCACCTCAAAATGGGTTTGCAAATTTAAACAGGCTGATAATGCAGAAATATATCTATGAGATGTGGACAGTTGAAATATCTGAATCTATGGATACAAAATTAACTCTCCATAATATACAGCAGGCTCATAATCAGATTATTGAAAACATATCGCAATGCATCTGCAACCTTAAACTGAACCAGACGAGATCCAAACAAACCTATAGTTGCATAAGGTGAAAGGAACTATTAACGGTTTAAAGGGACTGTAAATGAGAACTGTTTACGTTTTTGACCGTGCAAGCAACACCCTGTTAATTCCTCCATTAAACTCCACTCATCTCAGGAATATTTTGAATTCCATAATAAAAGAAATGTGTGTCGTAATGCTCTCTAGTTGAAGCAAAAATATTTCTATCAAAGAAAGTTTTTGCTGTTGTTGTTGTTGTTGTTGTTGTCTAGGGTCAATATTAGCAAATCTAAAGGCTGATTGAGAACAAAAAAACCTTACCACATCAATCAGCTGGGAGAGTTTCAATTTAATACACACGCGGAGCACGTCGGAAGTGTTCACCACGGGTCGCACCAATTTATTATAGTTGCTGAGGAGGTCATCGTAGAGCCTCTTCGCGTCCGGATTAGCGTCCACTAAGGGTCCGTAAAAGAGAGTCGCGACGCACAAAAAAACCGTGGCCAAAGAGGCCATCGTACGTGGTGCACGGGGTCCTGAAGATGCGGCACCGCACACCGCCTCATCCGCCCAAAACACTACTGAACTGTGGAGGCGGCGCCGGAGACTGCACCGGGTTAGATGTTACGAAGGAAGCGCGAGAGTACAGGGAACAGGCCGGAAGTTAAGAAGGAAACTCGCTTTTTGCGAGACCTCAGGCAGTTTCGCTTTTCATGTATAGATCTGTCCAGGCTTAGACAAACTCCTGAGGCTCTCCGGGAATTATAAAGACATAATACAATTAATTGATAAGCAACACCATAACATAGAAATAAGGAAAATCGACAAAATGTGTAAGACACGGATTTTGAATTGTCCATTAAGTACTTAAATATTTGAAATCAATTAGAAATGCCGAAAGCTTAAAGGCAATTTTTGCCATAACACTTATCAACGCTGGAGAAAACTCCCATACAATTATACTTTTTACAACAATTTGAGATAGAACCAATCAACTCACTTGATGCAAATTTCTGTGAGAAAATGGAAACCGATCAAAATCTTAACGAAGTTCGTAACAATCTTCTAAAGGCTAATTTAAAAATCATTCGTCTCAACCACAGTAATCAAGAAGACAAAGAAGATATTCAAAATTTATGTTTGAAATACAAATATATTTTCTATTGTAAAATGGACAGTTCACTTTCACAAATGAAATTTGTCGCAAAATTCTTTTGAAAAATGAAAACCCAATTTTTACAAAAAGCTATCGATATCCTGAATTCATAAATAAAGGCGAGTACGCCAGATTATCTGTTATCTGATGAAAGATTAGTTAGTTAGTTAGATTAGTAGAAAGTTTTCAATTCGGAGTTGACCTTTATTGTTTATTCATGTATAGTATCAGTTTTTTGAGGATTAATGAGTAGAAAAGGGAGGATGGGGTGCCCGCTTGCAGAAAGCCGTTAAACGTGATTTCTGATCTATAAATCCTTTAGCTTGACCTGAGCTTAGTGTTTGGAGAAGCAACTGATGGCATTCTTTATTTCCTCTGTTAATTTAAGCTAATTAAAATTTTGACTAAGTTTCTACTAAAGAATGTTTTTCTTTTCTTCCAGGTGGCACGATGCAGCTTCGGTAAGTTTGGAATTACTTTGCCCCTGGTTGTCATGTAGATGTAGAGCTTTTAGGCCCATTTTATTGATTTGTATTTTATATAACGAGGCGGTTATGGATTCTGCATTGAGTTTTGAAATTTTTCAGATTTTATTTCTGTAAAATTAATTTAAACTTAGATATTATACGGTAACGAATGAGACTCTCTACATAAGACACTTTTGATATTTCAAACTATTAATTTTCTGTTCTGAACTATACTTTTTATTGTTTTGGCAGGTAATTTGCGTCTTTTGTAAGTGTTTTCTTCTTTAAATTACACCCTGAATTCAATTGTTCTTCAAATCAACATTTCAATACATGTTTTGAACAAAACTGGTTTGATTTAGACACTTTATGTGGATGTTTGGGTTAATTTGTTTAGTTTGGGAATTCAACTATCTCAACCAAAACAAGGAAAAATCGTAAACTTTCGAACTGCGAAGTGGTTGAAAAGGAYATTTTCGGTAGAAATTGTTAGTAGAGGAATTTATAGTTAGAAGAAAGARGTAGTAAGTAAGTAAGTTTTTATTTTCGAAATCCAGAGGGGCTCAAACTAGATAATTARGTAATTTTTCTTCTGCAAATTACACTMTAAATTAAACGGTTCTTGTTTCACATGAAGGATARCAAGTGTTCCCAAAATTTKAATTAATATCWYTCAGCTTTTCAACATTAATCAGTCAGGTTCTCCGCAGTAGTTTGTTTTTAAAGTAAACTTAGTAAACTTTTTAAAGTAAAGAAAGRCACTKTAATGGCCCATTTTAGCGAACAAAATTATTCGATTGAATTTTGTAATGATCCTCCTTTGACATTTAGCTGCAACTAAATATTACTTTACCATGTACACACAAAGAAAGACACTTAGACCAAAACCACAATTTAAAAAACTCTGYGGGYAAAAAATAATACTCTTTCRAAAATTCGGCTACTCGGCCTTAAATGCACTGGCATGCATGCACAAGTTTTTTCTGACAAAATATTGAGCATATTTTGYTTGGAAAATSRTCTATACGRCTATATAGTCTTCAWAAATGTCAGCTTTTCCAATTAATATTAATTTCTCTAAAAAGATTGCACACTGAGTTCAAACTTGTTTTACTCTCTTGCTGTTGCCGCTATMCAATTTGARACTGGAATAGTTTTTAAAGCTACTTYTTTGAGATTTTTGGGCGTTTGAAATATTGTCAACACTTGCGGAGTTWTSTGTAAATAAGTGTGCAAACAATGTGGGTGGCAGTTTAAGTCTCTAACTTCARATTCCATTTTCTCTGAAACTAGATACGAAACATGTTATGAGAAGTAGCATTTTGGTCTAATATYGACTCTTATGTGAAAAATTTGCMCATTTGCMATTTTCAAAATGTTCGAAAATTTTTAGAATTTTGGAAAAAAATKARTCTRTGGGCTTCTTAAGAGTTTTTGAAYTTCTGAAWAATGTTGATAACTGACCGAGTTACAGGGTAAAGARTGGAAGTATGTGTAAGTTTGAGAGTTTTGAGCTTGTCAATATTCAGATCCTTCCAAACTGTGGTAAATACAATTGATTGGAAACATCTCGGTAGGAAAATAAAAGTCCGAATCAAACATTTAAAATATATTTACTTTATGGCATTATTAAAAATTAAATATTTTATAAACAATGATTTCTGAAAACTAATGTATTACTTGATTGCACAATTCATTATTAGATATTTACCATTGCTCTTCGTATAGATGCCTAGACACTTTCCTTAGTTGTTAATACATATTTTTTTAAATCAAAACACTATTTTATTTTAGCATAACTTAATTAATCAGTTATCAAAATAAGTGATCTTATATCCAAATTTTAGTATTATTGTATTGGTTAATTACATCAATGAAAGCTTTGGCAACACAACTGAGGTCATTTAGCAACGAGAAGAGAGTGTACTTCATCAGACAATTATTTGCTAATAATCACGATAATTTCAATGCAAAAACTGGAAATTAATTTGCTAAAAGTTTTTCCTATAGCAGATAGTGTATAACAACTAAAAGTACATAACAACTTCAAAATATTCGAAGTAAGACCCGGCAGGATGTCAATGTTATGCCTTTTAGTTCGTAAGTAGGTACATCAAAACTCGATAAATCAAGTCTAACAACTTTCCAGAATTAGCCTATGGTGTCGATTTCAGAAAATTGCTGATGATGTATTGCTGATGAAAAACTCATATTTTGGCTTCACGTGCTAAACCCTCAGGTAAATAACTGCTAATATCCAAATGAGATTGCCGACTCGTTAACATACACGCTAAGAAACTAAGCTTACAATTCGATGTGTCGTTGCATAATCTTCGTTTCGATATCTAGATGTATTTTATCCACCTTTCTGGCTTGCTTCTTGATATTGTCCTCCATCATTTTTTGTCCGTTAGACTTTTCTCCAGAAAACTTTTGCTTTTTGTTGTACTTGGCTTCATTTAAGGCGTGCTCCACTTGCATGTGTCTCAATTTCAGTAATCTGAATTAAGCAAAACAAATAAAAACTACTTGACAAAATGAGCGTGAAGCGTATGTCCCATGTATCAGTTTATATGATGAGACGAAAGTGTTTCTATTGGTTGGGTGATCTGCCAATTCGTTCGTCGACGTACCAAGTTGTAAATACGACGACCGTATGATTTTTAACCTCACATTCATTCATGTTTATATATTAGATTTTATGCTGAATTTATTGTAAGTATTTTAGACGATCACGACAAAACAGGATTAACAAAGTGCTTCTGTTTTTATTATTATGATTTAGGCAAACCAAGGAAAGTTAAAGGGACAAAGATTTTGAGTTCCAGGCAGATTTCATCGACAAACAAAACATCTTATGGTTTCTGTGATTCCTATCGAAAAACAAACATTAAATGTACTACATATCAGTATTACCTGTTTTCATAATGGAATAGCTCCGACTTTAATGACTGAAGCTCCGCAGTTGAAAAATTACTTTGAACAGCAATTCTCCACAATCCTGAAAAATAGGCAATTTTAAAATATGAATTTTAAATAATTTGAAACCTGATAAAAAAATATAATTTTAATTAAAATATATAGGCATAAAAAAATATGAAAAATATATAAGGTATATTAAACGGTATTCAATGAAAATATAGTAAAAGGAGCATTTCAAACATGAAGTTAACCATTGAAAAAAGCACACACTGTACTATCAATGTTTACAACAGTTTGATTATTATTATTAGATGACACTGATGAAATTATCAATATTAGTTTCCAACATAATCATAAAATTGATCTATTTTGTAGACTAAACTAAAAAAAGACGAAAATAACGTAGCGCGTGCATGGTTAGAACCTGTATGAAATTACTTGCAAAAATGTTACTTACCTTGCACTTTTGGTTCTACAAATTCTTTGCTAGCGGGTCCCGAACCAGACAACTTATCTAGATGATCGAAACCTTCCTTGATTTGCTTGTGGTGTTCTCTAATAAGATTAACCTGTAAATAAAATAAAGTTTTTTGATTTTGCTTCAAGCAGTTTGCAAACCAATAATTACATGATCTAAATGATCCTTATTGGGTTCTTTCTCTTCTAATATTTCTATTGCATTATATTTATCCAAAGATTCGTCAAGAGAATCTACAATAAAATGATTCACATTAGTAAACATACATTTAAAAAAGGGTTCTTAAAAGGAAATACACGGTTGTAAATGTAATATTTACTTTGTTCTCTCTCTTGAACTTGATCTTTGGGGTCACCCTTAACTCTATGCAACAAAGCATAATATTGATCAATTTTATCTTGATGATGAGTGAATTCTTCTTGAAGTGCGTCAAGTTCATCTTTACTAAAACCTGCAATTGTTGCTTTTTCCCAAAGTTTGTTCAATTTTTTATCTTTAAAAATGCTCCTGTTAATGTGCTTGTCTGATGCCTCATTGAGCGCCTGTTTAAATAAGTTGATTGAAATAATCTTATACATTTCTTCAAGCGACAAACCTCTACCTTAAACGGATAAACTTTCCGATCATCATTGACATCATCAATCTGGTCTAAAAATCCATAATTTGTCATTATAGTCTTCAGTTTATCCCTCAGCTGAGCTTCTTTTAAACCATCCTTGTCTTTACCCTCAGCGCGTAAATGTTTCCAAGTTATTTCTTCTTTATCATGCAGTTTCAATTCCCCAAAAAGCGATTGAATCTTTGCATCCGAGAGACGCTGAAACAAGAGTTTGAATTTCAAGCGAGAAGACTATTGAACTCGGACTCACATGGACAGCTTTGGACCACAACAAATTTAATTTTGCCATTCTAAAAGGCCTGTCCAAATGCTTCAAGGAAATTGGCCGCAAATCTTCCCCAGGACCATCGAATTTTGGAGAAGAATCTTGAGTACTTGGAAAATTAGCATCTTTCGAATACTTCTGATGACACTCAGTTACAACGAGTATAATACTGATGAATAATATTACCGATGCTACATTTTTCAGCACCATTGTTAGCGAGAAAAAGTAGAGATTGTTAAATATACAAATGTTGTTTTCGGAAAATTAACCTCAATGCCTCCGAAATCAAAACTACAAGTAGGGTGAATCGCAAACAATCGTAGTATGATCTGACAATCTGACGTCAGAAACTCCGGCGAGTTTTTCCAACTTCACTTTCGTGTGGGAACTACTTACCGTGTATTAGGTAATAGCAAAAAGCCTCTATTAATAAGAAAATTAAATATTCAATGGTTGTATTTACACTAATATTTTCAGCTTTTTCCATTCATTTTTCTTTCTATAAAATCAATATATATTTAATTATTTATTTGTCTTTACCTTCAGGAATGTTTGATGATGGTAATAATTTAATAAAATAATTTGAATAAAACCATTCAATCTTAGAAATAAAGTTGATTAAAAACTTTCGCCTGGTTCGAAAATTATATGTACATTATCTTTGCTAGAATAAACAAAGAGACATCGTCTAAAATAGACATAGAAACTTGCACTTGGGTGGATTGAGATTATTTTTCATTTTTTTTTCAGTTCAGTATCCTTTTTTTCTTGATTTGACTTCTTGACTAAAGATTTCTTGGCTGATATCTTGGTTGATATATTCCCAAAGGCCAAACTTATTTCTTTAATATTAGTCTATTTCCTATACATTCTACGATTGCATAGCTTATATTTTTTGAACTCAATTCCTGTTCTTGTATTTTTTTCTTTCGATCGCTTTTTTTCTACATTTAGCAATTTTTACTTTATAAACATTATGTTTTTTTGTACTCGCTGCTCCCGGTGTTTCTCCCATAACTTCACCCATAATTTCACGAAAATCATCTTTGCCAATTTTTTTCCTGTAATTTCAAATACGTGAAAGCTTTCTAAAATATGTTTGCATTTCGAACGAAAAATGCTCGTTATTTGAACTATCTGAAATCCTACTTTTATTATAACAAACAAGAAACTCCCAACTTGTCTCAAAATGCAGTTAAAACAGATTTTCTCTGAATGCACGTTCTAACACGTACTACCTTAAAACTTAAAATAAAATACACTAAAATAGACGTATGGATTTCGTGATAATATTTGGAATAATATACAACAGAATTTCATAAATTCGTGGAAACACACATGACTTTTTATTTCATCTGATACAAATCATATGTACAAATTACGAATCCATAATCATTACACAACCCCACAGTTAAATAAGAGAATATACCTAATCATATTATGGACGAAATTGTTTTACTTCAACATACTTATAAATCAGTCCTTGATACAAAAATAAAAATAATCGTGTATTCGAACTACACACATGGTTTATAAGTTAAGTGGAAAACAAACAATAGTGCCCCACTATAAAATGGAAAACATACAAAACAAAACAAAAACAAACGAAAATATTTAGCAGTCGCATAAGAGTTTATGCAAAAAACTTTATTCTATAAGGGACGTTTTCATTATAAAAATTAAAAAATATGTCTTTATGCCACTAAAGCAGATTTTGGGCAGCAAACTCAACCCAAGTTATTTCCCCATCATAATTGCGGTCGTAAATCTGTAATAGACTATCGATATTAGTTTGCAGTTCCTCATCGGACCAAATTTTTATGTTTTCTTCTTTCTTCGAACCGGATTCATGATCAACTGAAAAATCGAAAGTTGCATTAAGCGAATATAATACTTTATTATTATTATTATTTTAAAATATGTCATTATACACTATCTCAAAAAGTTCAATCCTAATAAATAAAAAACCAAATCATATGCATACTAGGAGAAGTCAACTTTCGAACCAAGACCACAAGCTTACATTCACAAAATCAGCCTAACACCGTTTTTCAAGGACGTAAAAATTTAAATACATACGTTTAATGCTGGGGTTTATCTTGTTTTTGCCCAGCAGCTTTTTGCTGGGCTTTGATAAACTCAGGATAGTCAATAAAGCCATCCCTATTCGTGTCGTCTACATTGAGTATGGGATCAATAAGATTTACCAGTTCTTCGTCTTTGAAGATTTTCTCTTCGATTTCACCCTGCTTTTCCTTACTGCCCTGCTCTGTGGAGAGAAAGATGAGAAAACAATAATGCACATGTAAAAGCAAGACATTTCACAAACATTGCACTTGTGCTGGGTTTATGTCGACTGTTAACGATGATTTTTCTAATTTCATAAACAACAAAAGACAACCTATTCCTACACATGTCCCCCCCCTGACTTGAAAGGTGGATCCACCCTGGTAGCAGACAATGTTTCAGTCATACCTAGGTATGAAAATATGCGTGTTTTCCTGTTTTCCTACAGGTTAAAAAATGTTTAACTTACCATGCCAGTGAATCAGAGACTTTATTAGCTCGCACCCATCCAACTTATTGTTATTATCAGAATCGTGCATCTTAAAATAATGGAATTGGAGTTCTTGATCTGACATCTTGCTGGTATCTATAGGAACCTCCATGTGCTCTTGAATATGTCTAAACGAATATAACAATAGCTTTTAGTAAATTGTAAATACATGATCTAAATGAGACGCTCACTCTTTTTCATGTGCGATATTATCTGCATTAAATACTTGTCGTTGGTGACCGTGATCATGGCCATGTCCATGCCCTGCTGGCTATAAAAATATCAACTGTTATGAACTTCAGCTTAATTTCATACACTTATGGGAGCATGCCAATATTCCTACTAAAGCAAAGCACCTTTCGTATACGCTACCAGTATTAGTAATATTATATTAATATCTAAAACCCAACGTACGTGCTATTACAGCAAAACTTAGCTATAAAGAAAAATATTTATTATGATCTGTGTAGATTGTTTCAAGACCAGAAAATATATACCACAAAGTTGAAGGTAAACATGAGTGGCATCCTCCATCCATAAAAGTACCAACAGGATCGTAGTTACTTTGTGCCTAACAGTAATTTAGAGCAGTAAGAGAAAGTAGTGCGGATTTTTACTAGAATTGTTGTGTTGTGTTTATAAAATTGTTCTCACAAACAAATCGAGTTACTGGAATTTTTCGAACCCAGAATACGTAACAACATATTTCTGAAATGACGAAAATAAGTCCTATCGATGTGTATAAAAATACACATAAATGTCCCATTTAAAAAAAGTTATATTATGTAAAATTTTTACATTTTCGTTTTTCATTTTAATTTCACATTTTGAAAATTGAGTAATGATAAACAACTTTTATATTTACCACTTTTCATTATTTTTTTTTAATAAATGATCTAAGCGGGGTTTGAACTTATGAGAAAACCCTGCACATAAAATAAATCGAAGATTTTAGAGACATTTTGTTTGTGCCAAAATTATGAATGAAATAAACCAACTGAAAGAAAATTTATTGATTCCAGCTTCCAAGGAAAATGCTCGGCTAGTTTTTGTTCTAAGACACTTCAGAAATTACGACTTGCTCAATGCGAATAAGCTCAGAAGCTTCATCAAAATAAGCCTTGCTTAAACACAAATAGACAGCAAGCAAAAGAAAAAGATAAGTTTTTTGAAGAACATCGACCATCAAAGACCTTTTTCTTTGCAAAAGTTATCTCAGATCGTCTTCTCTAGAGCCAAAGAATGTCGCAATATCGATTCGAACATGTGCTTACAGGACACCTTGCAGTATAGAGCTACATAGTCAAGACCACGTTCCTCGTTGCATTTGATGTTAAAGTAGTTTCAACAAGTTACTTAAGGTACCCAGCATGCAACTATAAAGAAATTAAAATAAACGAATTACTTGGCGTTGCATCGGAACTTGTTGTTGAGGTACCTGCTGCTGCACGGGAGCTTGCTGGTACTGTTGTACAGGAACCTAAAATATGCGGAGAATCTAGAGGATGCATTACGAACGTCCAAATTAAATTCCAATTAAAAATGAGACCATTTCAAAATATTACTTTATAACAAAGAACGAATTCGATTTCAAACTGTTAATATCTTCCAAGAAATTTTCGATAACAGATTGCTCAATTTTTATTTTGGACATAAGATTAATGTTAAAATTGTATGCATCGTTCGAGTCAGAATGAAAATAACCATTCGATACGACTAATAAACAAAGAGTACCATATTTATAAAATCTTAATTTCGTTTTTGATTTATTTGGAGCTGCGGAAAAGGACGTTTCTGATAGCAATTATGAAAACGCACATAAAAACATGAAAAGAACGCATAAAAACCGCATTATCAGTTTTTTCAAATCATATCATTCATCATTTCGATCATTATCAACTTAGTTGTGTTAATTGCATTTTAATAGTTTAACTGTTTTCCCATTTAGTCAACTTCGCCATCAATTACACTTTCCTATTATGATTTTCTCAAACTGGTCCTTTCTGAATATCCTGGATAAAGAAATCAAACTAAGTAATATAAATAAAAATATAATGCGGAACATCTGAAGCGAAGAATGAAGGACATCACTTCTTGCAAAAGAAATGTAAAAACCATGCTGATTATTACTTGTGATCTTCTCTAGCATTGAAAATCCTTTATAAATCAAAATCCCTATAATTTTGGAAAACGGATTGGTTTCAAAAGTCGATATGATTCGGTCATGGAGAGTCCTCACAGTCAACAAATGTATTGTTAATATGTAACGAAATACTATTGACTATTAGTTTTCAATAAATAACTGGATATATATGGTTTCTCTGAAACCATGTACTAACCTGTTGATACTGCTGCTGAATGGGTGCTTGTTGAACCGGAGGTTGTTGAACGGGAACATTTTGCTGTTGATATTGGTGTTGCTGTGGTACTTGATACTGAGGTTGATGTTGATACTAAAACCAAAACAGCATTCGTTCTATAACTTAAATATTTTACGTTTTCATATGGTTCAGTGATTAATGTTTTGACCATACGAAAGTAGGGTTTATGAACGAAAAAACACAATTTTGTCATAGTTGATTATAACAAATATGAAAACTTGTGTAGGTGTTCTGCGAACAATGAACTAAAGAACAAAATCAAATGTAACTTAATATATTTAACTCAAATTATCACTTGTAAATTAACATATGTTAAAAAATATTACTTGTTGCTGTTGATAATGTTGAGGATTGACTCCTGGAGGTGGTCTTTGACTATCTACATATAAGAAAACGATTACTGCGAGTAAAAGTACTATAAATTGAAACATAATGCAATTATAACACTAAAAAAGTAATCTTATTATCTCCAAAATAGTTGAATCATTTAAACTAGTTTGTGGTTAGGACACGTCGTCTTAATGTCAAACTGTGGTCAAACTGCAGTAAATAAGAATATAAATAAAAATATTGTAAGAGACGAAGACATACTTTCGATCATAGATGAAGACATTTGACAATTAACACGGAAACATTCTATTCAGTGCGTGACATTAATCGGATTAACTTTAAACCGTGAAATCTGAATATACGTTTCTTGAGGCTCAAGGCGGGACCCCCGAAAACCGGGGCCTTGTGACGTCACAAGGATCGAACAAGGATCTGGGACGTCACCACAAGGATGCGGCCGATTCACATTTAGTGATTTATTAAAACTGCTTGCAAAATTGTTGATTTTTAACAAAAAATTACATAACTTTACATTAGGTGAAGTTACTGCGACGTAAAATGAACTCTGCCTCGATATATGAAATATCGTTGTTTATTCGTATTCGTATCGATAGTTATCTTTGGTAAAGTGGTACTGTAGGTATAAAGAAATATAACGACAAATCGTTAGCACTTATACGTTCTGTTATACTATTTATCACAAGATACTGATAGATAATGCTCTACAAATAGAATTAGAAACAGCTAAGGAAATATAGTTGTAATTATGTAATTATTTAAGTTTTATAATTTTTTAAATTTCTTATAAAATTGGGTTTCAGTTCCTTCAGATGAACAAGATAAGAACAAACAGTGTTATATCTGAATCATCACATAGTCTTTTTATGTTCCTTACTTTATGCCTTAATAAGTTGTAGTTTTGCTAAAATGAACTGAGTAATTTAGTAGAAATTTGCTTTTTAAACTTCATCAATTTTCTATCTGTTTGATACTTAATCTCAAAGTCCAGTGCATTAGTAACTATTTTACTACTATAATTTTGGAACTAATTCCTAAGGAACTTCATGCGGAGCCGTCGTCATGTTTCATTTTGTCGACCTTTAATAATTTCACTATCAGCAAAATGCTTGCCGACAAAGTAGTAGAACTCGGTTTTTTCATAAAATTCAATATTTAATAAATTGCTATCGATCATGTTTTCTACGAAGATGCTACCAAGGTTCAGATTTCATATTCACCCTAAAATGAGTATGACGCTGTTAAACGAATAAACTGTATTAATTTACAAAGCCCAAACTCGGACATAGTCAATGAGGAAATGCGAGCCATCTGAGGGCAAATTCCATGTAGGCATCCATTGGTTTCGTCCTTCCCAAAATTCTATTGTCGCATTAGGCGACGAGTTGCTCCAAGGTTTTCCTCCTTCGTTTGTAAAGGAATCTGAAAAGAACGAAGTCCCTCCCACTGCCAGATTCATTATCAAATAGAATTGAGCATCGAAAGGAGCTGAGTTAGTTCCATCCACCCATGGATTCGATACATCTATTGGGACAAATAAAATTAGATAATATTATTACAAAAGATACAATACGTTTTTTTTCATGGAAATAAGTTTATAATAAGCAATTTCGGGAATTTCTGAGGACAATCAAAAATAAAAACTAATATTGTTCCGACACACAAGATTAATCATTTATAAATATTTCTTATAAGATCTGTTATTAAATAATAAAACCTCTTCTTAACTTACCGTCGTCACTGAAATTACCAAGTTCCCAAAAGCCACCTTCTGGAGGAGATATTCTACCAGTTTCTTTGTCATCAACGTAAAAGCTAAGACTTTCTGGAGCCCAAATCAATTTATAAGTGTGGAAGTCTGAACTGCAAAATATTTGGAATGGTCCATTATAATAATATCATAGTAATCTCATGGAAAAACAAGTTAAATAAAACAGAAAACTCGATGTAATTTACCAACCTTTCGTTCATAATGATGAGTAGATAAATATTTTAAAAGAATGAATAATGTTTGAGTCGATTTTGCAACTCAAAAAAAACACGCAAATTTAAAACTTCTTGAAATCAAGACTTTTTTGACAAAACTGCCAACATCTATTATCTCCTGCCCTTTCTAAAAAAGTAATTTAGTTATCTCTGGAATGATGCAAAAATGAGCGTTCTTGCTTCAGAGGTATGAGGAAAAACGGGACGGAAAACATGAAATTTTTACATAATCTTGCACCTAAGTGTCTGATCGTAAAATTTCGATTTCACTCATGTTTAAAATGTTACTTACTAAACAATCTAATGAGTTTTAACATTAGATTGTTTAGTAAGTATAAATAATTTCAGTTCGCAGTGACAATTGTCTCTTTTAATCTGCAAACAGTAAACTAATTTCCAAAGCCACTAGTGACTCTAAATTAAATTTATATTATAATTGACAAAATTGCTTATTAACTTAGGCCGTCCGCTGTTAAAGTTAAAGCAGCTATTTCTGGATCAGCGTTATTCAAACCTAATAAAGATTACCTGAACCAGCATTGTATTTTAGTTAATATTTAAGTGCGCCTTGACTCGTAATTATATCTTATATCGTACAAGATGCTTTTAAACACAAGAAGGTTTTTCAAATTACTGAGATTCAATTAGGTTTATAAAATATTTTAAAAGTAATAAATAAAAGTGCCGCATTCGAGTAAATCTGTTCGGTGTACGGACACGGTACATTTTGAGAGATTGAAGGGCTGCGAAAAGTTTGAGGAAAAATGGGGTGAAAGTGCAGCGAAAACATCAAATTTGAGTGTTGAAACTGTAACCAAACACTCTTTCAACAGTTAAAGGCGGGATAGGCCGTTTTTTGGTTTACTATAAGTGTAGTACTGGGTGTTTCAGAGTTGTGACAAAATCCTAGATTGTTAAAAGTTTAAATTCGCTATAAGGAAATTATTTAGAAGACCTGTATAAACATTGACTAAAACTGTTTTAAAATTGGTAGTACAAGGTAGGTATAGCATGTAGGTTTTCATTACCAGCATGCAACAAAACGAGCTCTACTATGTTCTCGTAAGTCACAATTTTCTCCTGCTTTATACAGATGCAGATAGATTGATTGTTACGTGGGGCCTCCGCATATAATCAGCATATCGTGCAATTCATAATGTTGATAAACATGTACCATTTTTAGTATCTTTGCTAGGAAACAAAAATCACAAATTGCAAATGTGTCTTTGCGACAACTTTTTTTTCTCACAAAATTCCTCCATAAATTCGAATTTTAACAAACTGGCATCTCAGTTAATTTTAGTTTGACAAAAATGGTGAATACAAATAGCGCTAATATATTTGAAATATGGCTCATAGAAAAATATCTAGGTATTTAAAATCACCCTGTATCTAATTTCTATAGTACCGGCCAACCTAAATTTATAAAAACCTCAAAATGTGAAAAGTTGGCCGATTTTAATGGGAAGTCGGACAATTATGACAAATTTCATCTATTAAGTTCAAGTGTTTCCTTATCCTTGCGAAAAAAATTCCAACTTGTTAGACCAGGTTTTTCGAGATAACGTTTTATATAACGTCCTGTCAGTGGAAAAATTGTTCAGAGTTTTTTATTCCACATTTTCAAGCTCTGCTTATACAAAAATCAACTTCTTTTGTTATCGTCTCTATATCTCTATACAATTTTTTTTAAATTCTGTCGCACCATCGGCTAAACCGCGACTCATTAGAATTAGTTTAACGGATAGCTAAATATTGTCGTAAATTGTTTAAAAGTTGGATTCGAAAAATGGTAGGTAGACCATTTTTGTACTTTTTTGAATAAAACTGAGAGAGCAAATTAAACAAAATATTATATGTACTATAGTACATACCTATAATAGGAAAGATTTTCCTCAGTGAAATATGTTAATCGCCATGTGTCCAGTGCTTTGCTGGGGCCCCAATGCAAAGTATTGGAGACTGATTGAACACCTACAATATTTCCACTTGAGTCCGTTAAATTCCTATTTCCTCGCGATTCCATCACATCAATTTCACCCGACAGAGGCCAAGACCCATATTTTGAATCTTTGGGCATAAGCCACAACGCTTTAAAAATTAAATCGTTTAATTAGTATCAACAATGTTAAAAAAATAGTTACATTTACCTGGAAATAGCCAATCTCCCAATGGTACTTTGGCACGGAACTCTACAACTCCATAAGTGAATGAAAATGATTCTTTCGTGCTCAGCCTGGCACTTCTAATAGGATGAAAAGTATCTCTAAAATGAGTTTCTTGGATAACGTTATTGGCATTCGACCATCAAATCATGCATAATGACCTAGTGATTAGTTAGAAATGTTTATAAATATACAGATTGTCCCGTCGGAAACCGCCACGATCGATATCTGGCAAATTATAATTAGGAGATATTTGATTTTTTTTTCAAACAATTGTTTTAAGACCATAAACAAAATTGTCCCAATAAATGTCGTTATTTTTCATATGATTTTTCCTGGTTTGTCGCATTTCAAGCCTCCTTTGATTTGCTGCTATCAGAATGTATTCATTGTACACCCTATATAATTTCAAACCCATAATTATTGCTCACATACCTCAAATATTTTTTTCCTTTCATATACAGTACCATGTTCTCAGTTTCGGCAGTGTCGTTCCAGAACGTAGGTGTGATATGAAGATTTCCATCTTGCACGTAACTATTATCATTACTATCAGTAAATAGTTGAAACTCATTCACATGCTGCAGCAATTATTGAATTTAGGTTTTATCATTATTATATTATACAAGAAATATTTATAAACTTTGCTTCATAATAAGTAATTGACAAGTTGTGTGCCCCGTGTGCTTCATGGCACAGAGTTTTTTATAATTATTATAGTTCTCATGACGATGGAAAAATAAATTGCTGAAAGCGTGGTATCTAAAAAAGTTTTAATTTTTCTCTCACCACTGCGTACTACACCGAATCCCCAAGGAACAAAATTGTCAATTATTTGCGTATCGGTCAACAAACTATAACTTATTTTCATAATAAGCGCCAGTTGCCAAAATGTAAACATATGTATTATATATATTTCTTAATTGAATTAGTAATATTAGTATTCCTCTAACTTACCGCTTGATTAGTTGGTTCGCGCAGCCAAACGTTTAAATCCAACGTTTGAAATGTGTCTTCAAAAATTAATTCTCCAGAAGCAAACTGAGTTTTGGTCAGATAGATCCCTTCGGCTTCGGTAATGCTGAAATCACTACAGTCACTGTCTGCCATTATCTTCGATATGCTTACTGAAATTAATAGTATATATTTGAATATTCTGTGCCAGTCAAGAATCCACATTTCTGCAAATATGTGCATGCAACTGATGATGAAGACAAGAACAGCCAGGAATAACACCCGCAATCAGTGCAAACCGCCTTTTAATTGATTCCGCATAAGTTCAAACAACAAGTGTTGATAATAATTGTTAGTGATAAATGAACAAGTAGCCCATTTTTTGCATATACGGATAGTGTAACACAATTGAGTCAAGTATGATTTTAAAGTAAGTTGGCGGAATTATAATTTGCGCGCTATCTCAAAGGTTTGAGCCTACTTTTCACAAAGCATAATGAGTTCTACAATAGAAGTACTACAAGATAAATATTATAAGAGTTGGCAAGTGCCTGGTAATAAGTTAACCACATTATTGCGTGAGTAGAAAGAGGCGTAAATTAGAGACGCATCATTCAATAATTACCTTAAATTTCGCAGAGCTTCGGTTTATCCGAAAATATTGTCTAAAATTCATTAGTAATAAAATATGGAAGTCAATTGATAAACGAAAGTCCATTTCAATAACACCCAAACCTTCTGAACTAAAAACGAATTCAATCCCAGTTACAACGTATAACTGGGTCGAGAATATCGTTTTTTCAGTCTAAAACTGGGACGAGAATATCATTATTTCTATGGCTCTTCAAACTTCAGAGTATAAAATAGTAATAAATAGCATATTATCAATACATGTATAAATCTTAGATTGCCAATTGTCTGACACTTTTAGATATTCAAGTATTCAAATCAATTCAATGAAACATTTTCAAAAGATAAAATGCAAATTAGGTTAAAAATAATGCGGTACTGTTATAAACTAAAAAACACGGAACTGCTTAAATGGTATTATAATAAATGCCATTTAACCACTTGCGTTATTTTACATAGGTACGAACGTACGTATTTTACAACCTTTTTTACATAGGACCTCAAAATATAAATTAAATATGCGGTGTTCCATATTAAGCCTCTATCCCAAGCATCCGTTTGGACGATGATACGAAAGTGTTTCTATTGGTTGGAAATCTGTCAGTTCGTACGACGACGGACGAATTGACAGATCTCCAACCAATAGACACACTTTCGTATCATCGTCGTATAAACGGATACATGGGACATGGGTTGTAGACGTGGTATCGTGTGTTGAAATTATCAATTTCATCACGTCTAACTGACGTGATTATCACGGAACGATGCCACCTTGAAATGACGCCTATAAACGACGTACAAGGACGTCATAAATCATTTAAAATATAACTTCTTGCTTCTTCCCTTGTCATAAAAGCGCTCAGAAAAACTGTATTACACGTCCAAATCATAAACGCTGTGATAAAACGATATACCTAAACGTTTGAAGAAGCACTACACGTTTGCTAGTGTTGGCTGCAGTGTACTTAGATCTGCAAGTGTAGATTTTTGAGTCTAGATTTTCTGATGGTCTTTTTAGGTTATCTTAGGAAAAGGTTTTAATTTTGTTAAAATAGAACGTATTTTTAATCTTGCGTTTAATAATTTGATTTACGTTCAATTTCTTTCAAAATATCTCTATCGTAGCTTCTACTCAGGTCTTTGAGATGAAAATTAAACTTATTTAACTTATTTAAAAATTAGACTCAAACAATATTATTAGAAAACTTGTAACAGAACGTTATGTAGCAAACGACTCACAAAAATAACCACTTGAGTATTTGAAGATGTAACCTACTTCTCGCCTCGTAGCCTAAGTAGTAATGATGATACAAAGAACGAAGGTCTGCAAAGATTGCCCAGCTGTCTTGACTCGAATAATGCCGGTATTACACTATGCAATTTTTCCTGCGCACATTTATTCGCAAATAAATTGGATTTATTATTGAAAGTCATCTTCTTGGCAATTTTCGAATTTACACTTATACAGGGAGCTCATTTTAAAAGAACCAGTCAAATATCTCGTAAATTCTAGCAACCCCAAGAAGATGTTCTATACAAATGTTGTGTAGTTGCTAGGGGAAAACCCGAAGCTGATATCAACTTTTTATAGATGGCGCTAGAACGTCAAGTGAGGAACAACTTCAACTTTTAAAACGGATTGGTATATTTTTAACAAAAAATCCGATTCAGCATTTAGTTCCAAATGTAGGTATTCACTTTCCTACGTCCCTCTTTGTGTTAATGATTTTGCACCATCAAGTATTTCCTTAGTTTTAATATTCATTATGTTACCAAAAAATCTTGAAACAGAAATCGAGGATCATTGAATTCAGATGCCACCTTGACTCCTGACTTGGGATACTTTTTGTCTGCGATTAGGCGACTTTCTTTACCTAAACCTTGGCAACAATACTTCTGTGTTCATCTATGACGGCGACTTCAAGAGGAATCGCTGGCGATTGACTATGCATGTATTTTATTAGATTGCCGATGTGTTGACAATTGACCAGACGCCAAAAGAAAACACAAAGTAAACAAAATGGGACAGTCACGCAGTAGTTTTGGGGAAAAAGAAACAAAAATGTTTTAAAAATAGTCAATCTCATATAATAAACCCTGAATATAAAATGTATATAAAACAATAAATTTATCCAATTAACATATGCATTTGATAACAAACCACCTTTAAGTTGCCAATAAAGCAACATTGCCATTATTTATATCACATGGCATTTAAGTTCTGCACATTCCTATATAATATTCTTTGAAGCTTCAATAAAAGTATACATATCTTTTATATTTGAAATATACACCTAAGAAACAAAATTGTCAAAAAATAATTTCCATTTCTGCTGAATCTCTATGTAGTTTTCAATACATAAATGTACTTATATGTATAAATAATGCCGGCAATCGTATGTAACATACAGGTTGTCGTGTGACTTGTCAAACAAAGCAGGTGTTCCAGGGATCATTCCAAGTCGATTCGAATTTGTTTTAAAGATATAAGAAATAAAAAACTTAATAATTTAAACGCAGGCCTTATTTTCAGGTCTTCTGTACACTCTATCTTTGTTGACCAACAATTTCGGGACACCCTGTATATATAAAATAACTTTGCAAATCTACAATTTACTTTAAGAAAACAGATCATTTTCCTTCAATGCCGATCGGATTCTGGGCAATAAGTACACCCATCTGATTCAGTAGATAGTTTGATCGCATCATATACTTCGTTAAACTGAGTTCTATTCATTCGAAAGTAATTCTTAAAAACTTTTGAATAAATCAAAATTGTGAGATGTTTTATATCTTTTTGCCACCAAATAACAAAGTAATATATCTGCTTCAGCTAAATACCAATTTGCAGTTAATATGAATTATTTAAAAAACATTTATTCAGTCTGACAGTAATGGTGTAGAAGACCGTCAAGGTAAATCAACATTAAAAACAATTCCAGTATGCCCATGAATTTCTTTGAAGCAAAAGCGCATCGACATTGCTTGCTTTGATAGTTTTGCAACCGATTGAACCTTGTAACACCTAGTTTGCGTTTGTTGGTCGAGCCGCAAAACACTCTGTATTTTGATAATTAAAAAACAAATTATGAACAGAAATAAAAGACTAGACAAAGAGTATAAGACGACGATGAGGATGTGACTACCATGAGTATATTGTCTTTTACAGTGGAGACTATTTCATTAGTCAGTTTAGCATTAATGTCTAAACTAACTTATAAATAGGTAATAATGACTTATATAAATAATAAAATTGCATTATAAAACGACTATGACATTCTAGAACAAATAATTAGTAAAACTTAAAATAATAAAATATTAGTAAAAATATTGAATAATATTGGTTAGCTGTTCTTTTCTTGCTTCATTTTTAAAGATCTCGGACTGTAGGTGTCAAGTTGTCCCACTTTTAGCAAATGCTTCTTAGAAAGAAAATGTCGCTTCAAACAATACCCAAGCCTCGTTTGAAATTTACATATGCTACATTTATATACCTTCAGTTGCGTACATTCTTTATGTGTTTCTAAATGGGCTCGTAAATTTCGTCTATATTTTGTGGTGAAAGAACAAATATCACATATGTACAAACCACTAATGTCGTTAGTGTTTTTATGTTTGTCTAAATGAGCCATAAATAAACCTTTTTTGAAAGTGCTATACGAACATTCTTTACAGTCAAATTTCTGATCGTTTTGATCCAGTTGTGACTTCTGCTTTCGGAACAGATCTCCGTGAACGTAATGAAGATGCCTTTTAAGTGTACATTTTTGTTTAAATTTTGAATCACATATTGCGCAAATAAAAAATTCGCATTCCCCAGATGGAAGATGTGTGGCAGTGTGCCGTTTCATATGAGCTATAGCTTTCGTTCTGTAACTACATTTAGAACAATAGTGCCATAACAGCTTACTGGGATCATGTAAAAGTTGATGCTTTCTTAAAGACAGTTCACTAGAAGTTTTAAAACGACAAAAATTACATGAAAATATATCGTCTGCTTCATCCTCAGATAAATCGGGTTCGGACCTAAAGCAGATTAATTTTTGAGCTCTAAATTCATTTTATACATTTTATGCTTACTTGATTTCATGCAAGTCAATATCTACTTCTTTCTTCATAAGACTGTAATCAAAGCTGGACAGGGACGTTGAATCATCAGCCCCACTTAAAGAGTTCTCAATGTTTTCGCCCACATTACCACCACTGTGACTAGTTTCACACATTTCCTCAAACTCCTCTTTAATGTGGTGCCATTCTTCCACTGCAATACTCTCATTCTTGATGAACACTTCGTTGTTATTACTAAAATGTAATGTGAATAACATAAACAAAAACAAACTGAACAAATAACATTTTAAAAAAATAAATTTTATTTTTATGAAAGAAAAATATATATGCTACCTAAGGTAATACTATCAATTATTTTCCAAAAATGTTATCAATGACACAATGTTTTAGTGATGAATCTAAAGATAAAGACAGCATCTAACTCAAGTGCATGCATTTGGCAAGTTTTTCAATCTTCGCGAAGTACTAAATTTTGTCTATCTATATATTGGTTTATAACGTTCTACGACGTCTCCCGATTTCCATTTTTTATCTGTATGGTTAACGATAACGTTACCTATAGGATAAATCTCTGACAAATATTTCTGATCTATGCTTATATAAAAATTGACCATTTTATATGAATATTATTTTAAGAGCCCCTTCTGCAAAGTAGAATACTTACAATAATCTGTCAACGGAATCAACACCCGTTGTATATTCTTCGTCTTCGTATGGTTCTTCTTTAATTGTGCTGTGAAATATGTTAAGTAATTGATTTTCTTCATAAATCGGTGCTTGCCTCGATTCGTTATTAATGTTTGTATCCATATTCTGAAAAAGAATATAAAGAGTGACAATGAATGAATGTTGAAGGAGATATGACTGAGATGATCAATACGTTTTAATAAAATATGTTTACTTAATAATGATCGAACGAATAACTATAAAGCAAACATAACTATCAGCATTACAATTTACCGTGGAATGTGTCTACCTTGCGCAAAATGCATGAGCACATCGAACTTTTGCAACTTACTTATTGTTTTTGCTCGATGTTTAAGCAAAGAAAATCAAGAATGAAAGAAAATATTTACAAAATTTAATTGATGAAACACAGAACTTTACTTTCATTATAATTATAAACGATGAATACTTAAAAATACTTAAAATATCTGATTTTAATTAGATTAATAGAATTAGGGCTTTAAAGCCCGAAAAACATTTCTAAATGTGATTTAATTAGAACGTTTTAATTTTCTATATCAACGCCACCTATGAAGGAATTAGAGAAAAGCTACCGATTGCGCCGACGCTGGTGACACAGGCCACGTCATCACAACCTTATTCGCAAGTTCAAATGTCCAGACGCAGCCTGGTGGCTAAAATTATAACTACGAGTTAATTAGTAATATGACACTTGTTTTGTTGACATTAATTTATAACTATATTTTCCTGTTTAGTCACAAAATTAATTTTTCTATATTATTTTCAGGTGTATTTTCTCCACAGACCATCCATACCTACAAATGCCACACTAACATTCTTAAAAATACACTAAAGTCCGCTTATAATGAACCCGGTTATAGTGCACTTTCGGTTAAAACGAACTTTTTTCTTTAATTGAAACGTCGTCCATAAAGACCAACGTATTTTTTTACTGGTTGTAACGAACCCGTTTATAACGAACTTCCAGATATAACGATCACTTTTTAGGTTAATTGTATATTCACTTTCCGTTTATAACAAACTTTTACGCTCAGCAACACGAATCGTGCGGAGTTGTTTATATTAGTGAGAGCGAGAAACCGGCAGTGACTTATTGTTTTTTGCCGCGTTATGTTTGTAAATCGTTTTAGAATGGAAAAACAAAAACGCAAAGCTTTTTCACTAATTGAAAAGTACGAGATTATTAACAAAATAAAAAGTGGAGTAAAGCAGAGTGACGTGTAAGGAATTAGCACTTGGAAAGTCTACTGTTGCAACAATATGAAAAAACAGAGAAAACATTTTATCAGCGTATGACAAAACAAATGTTAGATGTA